ATATTAGGGGATGGTATATCTCAACTTGGATCATTTAGAGCAAAGCTTGCAATTTTTCTTTCCAGGTTTTTCAGAATAATGGTTAGCCCATTGTTTAATAATACTAATTGTTTGATTAAAATGGAATTCCAAGCACAATAAGCTGCTGTAGTGGTAATGGTTCCAAAGGTGCTCTATAGCTGTAGCACAGTAAAACTCTAACACTTACCTCTACGGAACCAGGTAAGTGGAGCTTTTGGCCACATCCACTGCATCCGGTCCGTAGAATAAAACGTGGCCAATGCAGACTTTTTCAACCAGTTAGTGCCGTCCTGCATGGCAGGGCCAGATTAAGAGCCCAGTGGGCCTGGAGCTGACAATTATGATGGGCCTAATTACAAAATCTTATTGACCAAAAACACTAAAACAGTCCCACCTCCTAAGCGTCATGTATCTGATGGAGATGGTGCTGGAGGGAAACTCATAGGATGCAGCTATGAGAAAACACATACCTTATGCTAATCTCATGCTTTCATCTTTCAAGTAAACCCATACCCCTAACAGCAGTGTCCAGTAAAGCAGGAAGTCTATGGACGGGGTAAAAGGGTGGGCCACTGACACAAATCACAATACCAGAACTGCCAAAGAGGCAAACATACACAAAAAGGGGGCATGTCTGTGTCCCCACGTCTTCCAGTCCCTTAGTGTCTGTGTCCCCATGTCTCCCAGTGTCCCCAGGACACTAGGGGACATTGGGACACTGGGAGATATAGGGACACTGAAATACTAGGAAATCCTGGGAGACCTGGGGAGACTGAGACTCTTGGGGAAACTGGGAGACATGGGGACACTGGGTGACTGTGAGACACAAGGGGACATGGGCCACTGAGACACTGTGATACATAGGGGACACTGTGATATATAGGGGACACTGGAGACTTGATAAGACCTGGGTACAGGTCAAAACGTTGCAGTGTCCAATAAACCTGCTTAAATCTATCACAATGAGTGCCTAAGATGTTTTTCTTTTATACGAGGGGACACTAAGACACTTTGGGGCACTGTGAGACATGGGAAAACTGGGAGACCAGGGGATTCTCGGAGACTAGGGGACACTGAGACACTAAGGCCTGGATACAGGTCAAAACGTTGCAGTGTCCAATAAACCTGCTTAAATCTATCACAATGAGTGCCTAAGATGTTTTTCTTTTATACTAGGGGACACTAAGACACTTTGGGGCACTGTGGGACATGGGAAAACTGTGAGACCAGGGGATTCTGAGAGACTAGGGGACACTGAGACACTAGGGGACACTGAGACACACCAAGGACACTGGGAGACATGGGGCACTGAGACACTCTGATACACAGGGGACACTGGAACACTGGAGACTTGATAAAGACCTGGGTACAGGTCAAAACGTTCCAGTGTTCAATAAACCTGCTTAAATCTATCACAATGAGTGCCTAAGATGTTTTTCTTTTATACTAGGGGACACTAAGACACTTTGGGGCACTGTGAGACATGGGAAAACTGGGAGACCAGGGGATTCTGAGAGACCAGGGGACACTGAGACACACCAAGGACACAGACACACCAAGGACACTGAGACACACCAAGGACACTGGGAGACATGGGGCACTGAGACACTTTGATACACAGGGGACACTGGAGACGTGATAAAGACCTGGGTACAGGTCGAAATGTTGCGGTGTCCATTAAACCTGCTTAACCCCTTAAGGACACATGACATGTGTGACATGTCATGATTCCCTTTTATTCCAGAAGTTTGGTCCTTAAGGGGTTAAATCTATCACAGTGAGTGCCTGAGATTTTTTCTTTTATACTAGGGGACACTGAGACACTAGGAGACATGGGGACACTGGGAGACATTGGGACACAGACACTGAGAGACTGGGAGACTAGGGGACTTTGGGAGACTAAGAAACACTTAGACACTACAGACACGAACACTACGGACACTGAGAGACAACATGGATACTGGGAGACATGGGGATACTGAGATACTAGGGACACTGGCTGGGAGACATGGGGACACTGGGAGTGCCCCATGTCTCCCAGGTCTCAAAGTTGCCCAGTGTCCCAATGTCTCTCAGTGTCTCCTAGTGTCAGTGTCCCCATGTCGCCCAGTGTTTGTATCCCCATGTCTCCCAGTGTCCCAATGTCACTAGGGGACACTTAGAGACAATGGGACACTGAGAGACATGGGGACACTGAAAGGCTAGGGGCCACTGGGAGACATGGGGCCTCTGTGTCCCTAGTGTCTCAGGATCCCCATGTTCCCCAGTGTCCCTATGTCTCCCAGTGTCCCCAAATCTCTCACCATCCCCATGTCTCGCAGGCTCGGAGCTGCTGTCTGGACTCTCTATGCAGAGCTGCTCCCCCGCATATCAGTGAGTAGAGAGGCAGGGAGGGAGATGCTGTAACTTCTTATCCCTGCCTCTCTCCACACAAACAGCGACACCTACTGTATTGCAGAATAATCTCTGTTTACACCAAGATAGACATTTCTACTGCTGATATTACTGCAATACCGGCACTGGCTAGACAGCCTCAAATACCTGAGAAATACTTCTGATAAATACCTGGCAACCCTAAGAGTAGTGTGTAAAAAAATTAAAAAATTATATATATTAATTTTTTTTTTATTTTTTTTTAAATCAATGGCCCTATTCCATGGGCTTGGAGCTGCAGATCCATCAGCCCCTATGTTAATCTGGCCCTGCTGCATGGCCCCGCTTTATTCTATAGCACAATCCAGGTTCTGTTGCTGGAGAAGATCAGATGCAGAGGATCAGGCCTGGTGCTACATTAAGGCAAACACTGACATTTCCCTCTGGGTGCACCTACTGGGGGTTGGGGCAGTTTCCGCGTGACAGGAGCTGTCTGCTCCCTATTAGAACTGGTAGAAGTTACTCTGCAGCAGTCCATTAGGCCATTTTAGTGGGAAGGAGAGATCGGGGGGAGGGCGGTAGGTGATCCAAGAGGGGGGGAAAGGGGATAAGATACACTAAAAGGGGTAAAACATTCAAGAGGGAGGATAAGAGACCAGAAAAGTGGACATAAAGAGACAAAAGGATACAATTCTCAAAAGAGGGAAAGAAGACATAAAAAAGGGTAAGATACACAAAACAGGTGTAGCTGCACTGGGGCCCACTCTTGGCTACCCATCAGGTTAGGCCAGGGCCAGACTGGCCCACCGGGATACCGGGAAATGTTCTGGTGCGCCGCGGCACCTGGGGCTGGGCTGACAGCCCTATTCATCACTGGCCAGGCTCCTGTAACCCCGGCCGGCCCGAGCAGTGCGGCCGCACAGGGTCCCATGTGAGCAGCTCGCACATGGCCAGCCGGGATTGAAAAAAAATTAAAATATTGCAGTGGGGGCGGAACTTACTGGAAGATGGGGGCGGGGTTAAGCGGTAGGTGGGGGCGGAGCTAAGCGGCAGGTGGGGTGGAGCTAAGCAGCAGGAGTCCCTGCTTCCCCAACAACCAGCCTCCAGGAGCTCCAAACAGGAGGGAAGAAGCAGGTCAGTGTGTATGTTTTTGACTGCCTGTGAGTGTGTGACTGCCTGTATGTGTGACTGTCTGCCAGTGTGTGTGTTTGTGTGTGTGACTGTCTGTCTGTGTGTGTGTGTGTGTGTGGATGCCTGCCTCTCTGTGTGTGGATGCCTGCCTCTCTGTGTGTGGATGTCTGTGTGTGTGCATTTGCGAGTGAGTGAGCTTCAGTGTGTGTGTGTGTGTGTGTGTGTATGCGCGCACATCTGCTAGTGAGTGAGCTTCTGTGTGTGTGTGCATCTGCTAGTAGGGGAGCTTCTGTGTGTGTGTGCCTGCCAGTGAGCTTGTCTGTAGGGAGCATGTGTGTTTGTGTGTTAGTGAGCTTGTCTGTAGGGAGCATGGGTGTGTCTGAGCATGTGTGTGCAGGGCCAGCCTTTGGGGTGTGCGAGCTGTGCGGCCGCACAGGGCGCCATGGCAACAGAGGCTCTGGGGCGGCCGACACAGCTCGCAGTCGATCACAAAGAGCAGGGCCGTCTTTAACATTGATTGGACACTGGGCAGGCATTTGTTTGGGCCCCCTGGATCCTGCCATCCCTCGCCCTCCCCCCACACTTTCACTCTCTGGCATGCAATCACGCCCTCCACCCCAACACAGTGGCAGAACTAATGTAGACAGGGCCCTGGTGCAAGACATTGTTTTGAGCCTTCCCTCTAGCGCAAGAGCAGAGAAAAGATAGATCCTCATCTGTTGTACAATTCCAACGATGCTATGCCAGCTGGGGATCTACCATTTGTCCATTTTTGCAGGGCTGTATTTGTGAGCAGTGTTTGTGCATTTGAATGTGAGCATGTTGTTGTATACAGTATGTGTGTGCATGTAGGGTGTAGTATTGGTGTTTAAGTGTAGGGATGTGTTTCCATATACTTTTTGAGTTTGAATTCAGGGGAGTGTTTGTATGTAATGTTTGCAGGGGTGTGGTTGCATGTTGTGTTTGATTGCCGTGATGTATGAATGTCAACATTCACAGATATACATACACATTAGCACACGGATACATGCACACATCTGGACACACTGACAAAGACTGGCGTATACACAAACAGCCACATACATAAATACACGTGCACACACAGAGATAAAAACACTGGCACATCCACACACAGAGATACACACTTACACACACTGACACAGATATATACACAAATACATATGTATTTGTGTGCAGTGTTGGCGTAGGAATGCTGGGATGTATGCATTGTCACACAGATGCACTCTCACACAAACAGTGATACACACAGGAACACAGATACACATGCAGTGGTGTATTTGTGTGCATTGTTAATGTTGGAATGCAGGGTTGCATTTGTGTGCAATGTTAGCTGGGATGTATGAATTGCCCCACGCACAGATACACACTTACACATACTGACACTCATACACACACAGGTACATATAAACAGACAAGCAGGTACACATACAAACTGACACATAGGTATACATACACACAGATACACATAAACACTGACACAAAAGGTACATGTACACTGACACAAACACAGCCATATAAACACACACTGACACAAACAGCCAGATACACACTTACACACACACAGTCAGATACAGACACACACACACACACACACACAGTCAGACACAAACACAGCCAGATACAATCACAGCCAGCCAGATACACACACACACACACACACAGTGAGATATACACACACACAGTCGGATACACACACACACAGTCAGATACACACACAGTCAGATACACACACAGTCAGATACACACACAGTCAGATACACACACAGTCAGATACACACACAGTCAGATACACACACAGTCAGATATACACACATACAGCCAGATACACACACATACAGCCAGATACACAAACAGTCAGATACACACACACACACACACACAGTCAGATACACACACACAGTCAGATACACACACACACACACACACACACACAGTCAGATACACACACACACACAGTGAGATATACACACAGTCAGATACACACACAGTCAGATACACACACACACAGTCACAGCCAGATACACACACATACAGCCAGATACACACATACAGCCAGATACACATACACACATACAGCCAGATACACACACATACAGCCAGATACACACACATACAGCCAGATACACATACAGCCAGATACACACACAGTCAGATACACACACACACACATACAGCCAGATACACACACATACAGCCAGATACACACACATACAGCCAGATACACACACACACACACATACAGCCAGATACACATACACACATACAGCCAGATACACATACACACATACAGCCAGATACACACACACACTGACACAAACACACACACACAGTCATATGAATTCACATAGTTTAGCCACCCTCCTTACCTCTACAGAAGTGTGGCTTCCCTGTGGTCCAGTGGGAGCTGGATGGCTGAGATTGATGGGAGTCTGTTTGTTATTGGTCTGTACCTCCTCCATGTATGTCTCCTCCTCCCCAGCGGCACTCTGTTAATTGGGAGGAAGTGACCTCACAACACTTCCTCCCAGCAGGCAGGAAGACCAAGGCCCGGTCTGCAGCTCTCTTAAAGGGCCGGGGGCCCCTGATTACCTCACCTGCTGCAGCCCACCGGGATATTTCTCAGTATCCCGGTGGGCTGTTCAGACCTGGCTGCAGGCAGGGGGCCCACAGGGCAGCTGCCTTGGGCCCCCCAGGAGCAACTGGGCCCGGGGCAGCTGCCCTGTTTGCCCCTTGTTAAAGACGGCCCTGACAAAGAGGCCAGCCCAAGTTATGAGGGGAGAGGCGAGCCGTGGCCAGGATCCATTGCAGAATGAAGAGGTCTGGAGCGTGGGGGCGCAACGTCCATGTGCTCTGCCTTCACAGAGAGCCACTGTAGGATCCACTTGGTGCGTGTGAGGTCGGCGGCTGGAGCTGGGAAGCTCAATCCAGAGAGCAGCAGCCTAGTTCTTATTGCTTTTCTTTTTACTAAATATATTGCCTTTTATTGAAGGGGTGCAGGGTTGTTGGTGAAGGGGATAGGAGATTGATTAAGGTGGCAGGGTCTGATAAAAGGGGGCAGGAATTGATTGAAGGGGGGCAGGGAATTGGTAAATGGGGCAGGCATAGATTAAGAGGGCAGGGTCTGATGAACGGGGGCAGGGGATTGATGAAGGGGGGCAGGGACTGAAGGGGCTGAAGGGGGGGCAGGGGAAGGGGACTGTGAAGCTGGGGCAGGGGACTGGTGAAGGGGGCAGGGGACTGGTGAAGGGGCAGGGACTGGGTGAAGGGGGGCAGGGGACTGGTGAAGGGGGGCAGGGGTGAAGGGGGGCAGGGGTGAAGGGGCAGGGTCTAGTGAAGGGGGCAGGGGCAGTGAAGGGGGGCAGGGGACTGTGAAGGGGGGGGGGGGGCAGGGGACTGGTGAAGGAGGGCAGAGCATTGATGAGGGGTGCAGAGGATTGGTGAATGGGGGCAGGGGACTTGTAAGGGGGTCCAGGGGATTGATGAAGGGTGTCAAGGTGTGACGAATGGGTGCAGAGGGCATTGATGAAGGGATAGACATTTGTTTTGGTGAAGAGGGCAGGGGTTAAATGAATAGGGGCAGGGGTTATGGTGAAGGGGGGGCAGGGTTTGTAGAAGGGGGTGGAGGCGGCAGATTGTGTGCCTGAAATTGTCTAGATGGGACCAGAGACGTGGGGTGAAGAAATGAGGGAGAGGCTATACATGATTTAACACTTAAATGGCAGAGAATTGAGCAGTGACATAGCAGGGACATGCTCTATACACCTAAACTGCTTCATTAAGATAACGTTGTTTTGATGACTATAGTGTCCCCTTAATGTATATTATTGTTACCAGCCTATCCAGTTATTTATTATTGTAATTGTTTGCACTTGCACTTAAACTATCTGTAATTAAAACAAATTATTTCTTACAAAGGTTTTTTTCCTCTTTGTGTATTTCTAGGTGACCGGGGGCGGGGGGAGGGCGCCACAAGATTGGCTCGCACAGGGTGCCTAAACACCTAAGGTCTTTATTCTCATTTTTTCAGGAAGTATGTAGGGAAGCAGTTTAAATCACATGCAGGGAAGTGTGGCTGGGATTGCATGGTGATTTAACTCTTAAATGGCAGATAATTGTGCAGTGATACTGTATGAGCTATACAACAAAGGCACTTAATTAAAGGGACACTATAGTCACCAGAACAACTACAGTTTATTGTATTTGTTCTGGTGAGTATAGTCAGTCCCTTTAGGCTTCTTTGCCATAAACACTGTCCTTTCAGGGAAAAGGTTGTGTTTACATTACAGCCTAGGGTTACCACCAGTGGCCTTCCCTCAGATGGCTACTAGAGGTGCTTCCTAGGGCAGTGCTGCACAGTGTGACTGACATTCAGTGTCTCCACCCTCTGCATGCAGACACTGAACTTTCCTCGTAGAGATGCATTAATTCAATGCATCTCTATGAGGAGATTCTGATTGGCCAGGGCTGTTTTTGGCTTGTGTTATCGGCCTCCTTGACAGTCTCAGCCAATCCAATGCTTTCCTATTTGACAGCATTGTGATTGGCTCAGATCACAACTTTTGATGATTTCAGCCAAACAGGCAGATCAGGGGCAAAGTAAGCAGCAGCAGACTGCAATAAAGGTAATATTTTGCAATATTTAGGAAGGCGGGTTAGCAGGGGGACTAGATTGTGTTTTCTAAAACTCTAGGGTCAGAAATACATGTTTGTGTTCCTCATACTATAGTGTTCCTTTTTGCTCAATTTGTTTTGTGCTTAGAGTATCAATTTAAGGGTGGATCTGGGTTACTTTTAGTTAGGGAAGTTTTAAGACTGGGGGCATACGGATGTAGTGGTTTAAGATTGGAGAGTTTAGAATTAAACTATACATGTACTTGAGAAGCTCTAGATTATAACTCCCATAACATTCAGCCATACAAACACTGTCTGAGAGTTTTTTTTTTTTTTTTTTAAGGGTGGTACCATCCAAACCTCCCCTAACCATAAACACTCCCAACATTAGACCCCTAATCCTACTGTAATAATCTAGCACTATATTAAGGTAAAATCCACATATACAATACAACAGGTGTGCCACAATGCAAGGAAAAAATATCTGCAAGTTTTGGCAAACAACAGAGCCACATTAAGTGAGATAGAACATCCCAAATGAAGTAAGGTGGGTTGTCTACTTTTCATTTTGCTAATGATACTTTTCCCAGTAAAAAGCAAAATTCTAATCTGAAAACTAAAGTGGATGCAATTTAATATGGCCCTATCACTTGGAATCCCTATGTAGTAGGGGCATTGCTGTTCTTGTGTTTAACATAAATGATTCACTTTTTCTGCTGTAAATTACTGCGGTTTACAACATTCACTGCATTGATACAATGCTGTGTCTACATAAGAAAGGGAATACAAAAATATGTATTTAAATGCTGCAAAATATTGGCAAGAAAATTGCTGAGTAAAAGGATAAACTATCCCCTGGTAAATATCGGAGTATCTACATTTCAAAATATATGTACACCTTTTTTTGGGTTTCATACGACACCCCACCCCCACACATATAATGGTAACAAGTCTCACAAAAACTTGCATAATTATTTCAATATACAGTGCTAACTATTAACACACAGGTAGCTATTCATGCAAACACATACACACAATTTAGAATTCCGTAATATCACATAATTCCATCCATCCTGGATGGTTTTAATAACCTGAATGCACTTGCACAGCCAGAAAAAAATCATATGGAACAGCCTAATAGGATTCATTTCGTATTGACCTGTAGTTGTTTCCCCTCAGTGGATTACAAATTTTTCTGTGCTGAGATTTTTTTGTTATTACTATTACCTATTAAGACAAGTTTAACCTCTTTTCAGACTTTTAAATTGGTAATTACACTGGTGAATTTGCTGCTATTCTGTTTTTGGACAGTGGAGGGAGATAGACCATTTAGATTATTGCTGGCGCTGTCCATTAAAGAGAGCTCCTGAAACAAAAAAACTTTAAGGACATTCTAATCTTGTGGACAAAATGTATTGTATAATGCTATTGGTAACCATGGGATAAAAAAATCTGTTTCAACGAATGCTTGCTATTTTATTGTATATGTCAGCGGTTCCCAAAACTGTGTGCCGCACACAGGGGTGCTACAGAAACATTACTGCTGAACAGGTGCCGGTTGGGTGCCGCTGTCCTTTAAGACCGCGACCGGGCCCCTGTAATGTCGGCCAACTGGGAGGAGGTAACAGCCTGCCACTTCCTCCCAGCATCACGCAAGAGACAGCGCAGAGGGAGGCAGCAGCGAGGGGAGAGGAGCACTGCAGGAGCTGCTTCAGACTCACAGCAAGCAGGACTCCAATCCACCCTCCTGGACACATAAGGTAAGATAACAGGAGGGTGGCTGGAGATATAAAGAAATATCACTTGTGTATGTGAGTGTGTGGATGAGTGTGCGTGCCTGTATGTGTATGAGTGCCTATGTATGTGAGTGTGTGTGTCAAGGTGTGCATCTATGCGTGTATATATATGTCAGTGTGTGTGTGTGCACACATTTGGGTATGTGCATCTGTGTGTCAGGGTGTGTTTTTATGTCAGTGTGTGTATCTGTGTCATGGTGTGTCAGGGTGCATATCTATGTATGTGTCGGTGTCTATATGAATTTGTGTGTATGTGTCGGTGTATTTATATGTATCTGTGTTAATGTGCATGAATATCTGTGTACGTATGTATGTATGTGGTAGTGTATGTGCATACATCCAGGCAGTCAAACACCAGCACAACATACAAGCACACTCCTGCAATCTAACAAAAATATTACATACAAACACACCCATGCATTCAAACCCCCCAAAAATATACTAACATACACCTTTACTCAAACACAAATACTTCACACAAATGTACATCTGCATTTAAAAGTGAACATTACATTCAGACACACCCCTGCAATCAAACGCAAACATTACATACGAACACACCCCTGTATTAAAACACAATAACTATATACAAGCACCGCTTCAAACACCAACACTGTACATTACACTATAGCGCCAGTAAATGCCGCAGCGCTGTGCTGATATACAACCTAGAAATTTTGACTTGGGGTGCCTTGGAAATATACTGAAATATTAAGGGCGTCTTGAACCTAAAAAGTTTGGGAACCACTGGTATATGTGATGTGCAGAGAGTAACATGATTTATTAAATCAGCAGGGTGTGCCACGGCCAAAATAATCTTTAGTCATTTGTCATACTTTATCTTGTAAAATCAATTCTGGCAATCCAACTATTAATGAACAAATGTCAAGTGAAAAAAAAAAAAAGAAGTTATTTTTGTAACATTCTTTATGAGCACAACGTGCAAGCCAAATGATTAATTTAACTTAATCTAATTTATCACAATACGTTATTCATGTTCAATGCAGTCAATTGTTCAGATAGTTTAGACTGTAATTACTAACATTCATGTGAAGGTCAATGAGTTTACAGAACGTCACTGAAGGTTTATTTGAGAATTGAACTTGTACGTTCAAACATAGAAATGGGTAAAAGTGTCCAGGCGGAAATTGTGAGATGATGTCTCCATAAATCAAAACATTGTGGGGTTTTCATATGTAAAAAATGATAGCAGCATGGAAGGATTCAAATGTTTTCTAATAGTTGTATTTTATGAACATGTCCGTTCTAAAAAGTAGTACAAAAATGTAAAAGGGAAGTAGTCACCAATGGAATATGATGCTGGTTACACTGGTCTCCACGGTGATTGACCCACTTGTACTACTTTAGACAACTTTTTACAACAGAACACTTAATAAAATAAATAATATCCCCCATTGTGTTTTGGGTCATTCTGAAGGGTCTAATTTGCTTCACTAGATACAGCAGAGCAGTCCAAACCTAAATTTTTAGCACAAAGAACCCAATGTTGCCAGTCAAAGGAAAAGTCATAAAGTGCTAATTGTTTTACTTTTGTCATAAGCAGGTCTATTTTTTCATGTGTGTGTACGCAGGGAGAGCACCGCCCACGCAACCAATCAAATGCTTCTTCTATGACCTGCATTTGGTCACATGACTATCACTGAGTCAGGAAGCGCCTTTAGTGACGGTTTACTATAGTGTACATTTAGATGTCCTTTAATAAACAGTACATTTTGGTAAATTGTAAACTAAAGTAAAAAGGATTTTTGCAAACAAAATTGTAAAATCTTAATTTTTCTTTTTTTTTTTTTTTGAGAGAGAGATATTATATATATATATATATATATATATATATATATATATATATATATATAAAATGTGATAAAACTATTCAAAAAATGCAGTGTCATAGCTAAATAATAAAAGTGACAGTGCTTTTAAGTATATGCTCACAATGCATATCATATATCTGCTCTATATCAAATAAAAAATTATATTAAAGGGACTCTCCAGTGCCAGGAAAACAAACCTATTTTCCTGGCACTGAAGAATCCTGCAGTGCCCATCTCCCTCCCACCCCACATCGTATGTTACTATAGGCGTTAAAACCCCTTCAGTGACTTACCTGTACAGATGTACCTCGGCCTAGGTCAGGCTCTGCCCACGTCAGCCAGCGGGTAAAACCTAATGCCCATGTGCGGCAATGGCCGCGCGCTTGCATTAGTCCTCCCCATAGGAAAGCATTATTCAATGCTTTCCTATGGGGATTCCGGCGATGCTGGAGGTCCTCATGCATAGCGTGAGAATGTCCAGCGTTGTTTAAAACACTTTTTGTGTTCTAACAACACAGAAGTCCCTCTAGTGGCTGTCTAGACAGCCACTAGAGGAGGACTTAACCCTGCAAGGTAATTATTGCAGTTTATAAAAATAAACTGGGAGTTGGCACCCAGACCACTCCAATGGGCAGAAGTGGTCTGGGTGCTGGAGTGTCCCTTTAAGCTGGCATTGCTATACAAATCTTTCTTAAATTTATGCTTTCATATAGTCATCTCTAAAGGGGCATCTGAAACAGATGGGTGGGGTGGGGAGCTCAACCCAAAAGGAATCTGGTCTGGATTCCAAATATACAAATAAAAAAGACTGAATTGGGGGCTCACCCAGCATATACATTTCTAGAGGCTGAAATGTATGCAAAATACAAATTAAGTAACAGTGCACACACTTAAATACAGTTTTACGTTTTTCAAGACCACTCAAAATCACCTATTTCAGCAAACATTGGGGTTCAGTCCCACCATATGGCCATATCATTATCATATTAAGTCCACCACTACTTAACAGTACCTCAATATCGGTGGGTCCTACACTAGTACTGTGGCATAGTGGTGAGCTTAATATGTGTTTGCTATATGACCTCCAACATACATTTCTGTACAAAAATAACTTACATTTAAGAAATACATGAAATACTAAGGTAACATGGGAGTTGCACAGTTTGATGGAGTAAAAACTCACAGTTGCAGAGATTGCTCACAATGCTAGGCAAAGAAAGTGCAAAATTGCACCTGGACACCACTCTTCCTCCCAATGTAGGTAGACAAGCCGTCTAGTAACAGTTTGATTTCTTGCCTTGAGTTTGTCAGGCTGCACTCGTGCCATATATCAGCCTCCAGGACAGCTGGAAGCTTCTACTAGGAGCTTCTGTTAGGTCTCCTGAACTAGGCCCTGCAGCACAGTGTAGTGGAGGGCCAACTCACTGGCTGAGAGCATCAGATAATTGCTGTCAGTCAGTGAGCTGAGCCCTGCACCACCCGAGGAGGCAGGAAGCTGTGCCTGGAACTCGGGTAAAAGTGAAACAGCCACTAAACTGTTAGGGTTCTTGGAGTGTTACTTTAAAGGACCACTCTAGGCACCCAGACCACTTCAGCTTAATGAAGTGGTCTGGGTGCCAGGTCCAGCTAAGGTTAACCCCCAGAGAAACTGCTATTTTTATAAATGGGTTAATCCAGCCTAGAGACTCTAGTGGCTGTCTCACTGACAGCCGCTAGAGGCGTTTGCGTGCTTCTCACTGTGAAAATCACAGTGAGAAGACGCCAGCGTCCAAAGGAAAGCATTCTGAATGCTTTCCTATGAGACTGGCTGAATGCGCGCGCAGCTCCTGCCGCGCATGCACATTCAGCCGAAGAGGAGGATTGGAGGACGAGAGCTCCCCTCCCGGCACTGGAGAAAGGTAAGTTTAACCCCTTTCCTCGCCATCCAGCCCGGCGGGAGTATGTTTTCCTGGCACTGTAGTGGTCTTTTAATGAAAAATAAATGTTAAGGAAGGAAATCATATAGCAGACATAGAAAGCAATAACAGATCTTCAGCTTTTCAAATTCATGGCACATTTCTTTAATAAAACAACTCAAAAAGGAAAGCTGGTTCCTGGTGAAAATGCTTTTCATGGAAACACAAAGTCATAGAGGAATATGGTCAAATGTTTGTTTTAATCAAATATGTTTTAATTCAGTTAGTTATCAGGAAAAGAGCAAGTGTAAGGATAAACATAACAGAAAATAAGCTTTTGGCTGTTGCTCAACTATTGGATATAGAAATCAATGTGGCGTGCCAAAATATATAAATACAATATAATTATATCTACACTGATCAGCCATAACATTAAAATCACCTGCCTAATACCGTGTAGGTCACCCTCGTGCTGCCTAAACAGCTCTGGTGTATCGAGGCATGGACTTCACAAGATCTCTAAACATGTCCTGTAGTATCTGATATCAAGGAATAAGAAGAAGATCCTTTAAGTCCTGCAAGGTGGGGCCTTCATGGATTTGATTTGTTACTCCAGCACAAGCCACAGATGCTCAATCGAATTGAGATATTAAGAATTTTAAGGTTCAAGGCAACACCTTGGACTCTTTGTCATGTTTCTCAAACCATTCCTGAAAAATTTTGCACGGTGCATTATCATACTGAAATAGGCCACTGCCATCAGGGAACACCATTGCCTTAAAAAGGTGTATGTGGTCTGTAACAATCGCTAAGTATGTAGCACATTATTATTATTTTTGCCATTTGTATAGCGCCAAAAGATTTCACAGAACTTAAAACTCTATGTCAAAGTAACATTCACGTAAATGCCAGCACCCAAGGTTTCCTAGCAGAACATTTGCCAAGAGCATAACACTGCCTCTGCAGGCATTCCTTCTTCCCATAGTGCATCCTGCTGCCATCTGTTCCCAGGTAAGCTACGCACACACACACACACACACGTGATTCATTAGACCAGGCAACATTTTTCCTTTATTCCATGGTCCAGTTCTGTTGCTCATTTTCCCACTGAAGGCACTATCGGTGGTGGACAGAGGTAATCATGGGCACTCTGTGAACTGTGTGAACTGTGATGCACTGTGTGTTCTAGCACCTTTCTATCATGGCCAGCATTAAGTTTTTCAACATTTTGTGGTACAGTAGCTCTTCTGTGTGATTGGACCAGACAGGCTAACCTTTGTTTCCCACGTTTAATGGTTGTCTTTCCTTGCATCACTTTTGTTATTTACTAACTGCATTCTGAGAACACCCCATGACTTGCCGTTTTGGAGATGCTGTGACCCAGTCGTCTAGCCATCACTATTCCGCCCTTGTCAAAGTCACTCAGATCTATTCAATTGCTCATTTTTCCTGCTTCCAACACATGAAGTTCAAGAACTGACTGTTCACTTGCAGCCTAATATATCCCACCCCTTGACAGTTGCCATTGTAACAATATAATCAATGTTACTCACTTCACCGATCAGTGGTTTTAATGTTGTGGCTGATCAGTGTATGAGAGGTGCACCATTTGATAGAGTAAAACTCTATTTGCAGAGATTGCTCAAAATGCTAAGCAGAGAAAGTGTAAAACCGCACCTGAACAATTCATGTAAATAATTAAAAGAATACTCCAGGCACTATAACCACTATAAAACACTGTAGTGGATATGGTGCCACAAGTACCTTGACACCCACCTCCTTCCCAATGTAAGTAGTCAAACCATTTTGTAACAATTAGATATCTTGCCTTGTCAGACACCACTCCTGACATTTGTCGGCCTTCAGGAGAGCTGGAAGCTTCTGCTAAGAGCATCCACTAGCTTTTCTGAGCATCAGCTAAGAAATCTCAGTCAATGAGCTAAGCAATGCACCACCGGCTTAGCTCAGAGCTGTGAGGAAACAGAAAGCTGCGCCTGGGCATCAGGTAAGGAGTCAAACT